ACAGACAGGTCTGTAAGGGGAACAGTAACACCAGTGACAGATGCACACGTGAGACTTAGGGGTGGGGGTGGGGGGGCGTTGAGATGTAGGGGGCAGCATTTGCCCAAGGGTAAAGTTCAGAAGGGCTAGCAAAGGAGGAGGACCCGAAACTGGGAACGCAGGGAGGACATGAGAGACATGAGGGGATGTTGAGGGGTCGGCAGTGGATGAGTGGAAACCAGGCGCGCGAACCGTGGACCAGCAAATGGCTGATCTGTACGGAACACCTTCACTCAAATCACAACACCAAACATCAACATCCGAACAAAGGTCGGCGAGTGGAACCCAGCCAGCGGTACCACGGACGAAAAGGTCTGGCTCTCTGCTTCCTGGTGATCTGTAACTCATGAAGGTCCCCAAGGTTGGACTCCATCACACAGCAATCAATGATAACACAACGACAATCACTGAGCAGAGGGGACTCACACAGAGACCACTGCGGGGCTCCGCCTCTCTTCTTCCAGACACAGCCCAGTGGACTTCTAAAACGTGAATACAGCTAAGGGACTAGCACCCGGGGCAAGAACCAGAAGCCACCAGCACCCAGAAGCAGCTCCTGTCCAATGTCTACACTCCCTCTGATGGCTCCCCACCCTGACCTCTTGTGGGGGGAGGTCAGATGCGCAGGCATTCCCTCCCCTGAAGGCAATCAGTTGCCAGACTGCTGTCTCATCCCACCACAGGTGAGCCTGCTCCCTGCCTCTGGGGACAATGGACAGGCTCCTGTAGGAGGGGTTTGCACCCTACTGATAATGGTTCCTATGGAGACCCAGAGACCACCCCCTAGGCCACCCTCTCATTGCTGTGTAACCTATAGTGCAGCTCCTCCCTGTGGCGTAGGTCTCTACCTGTAATTAGTGGGGGCATGCCCCCAAAAGGTATATAGGCATGGGTCAGCAATATAGAGCTCTCCGACCTCTCGGACTCCGACCTCTCGGACTCTCTCCCCCCTCTCCTCTCCCATCCTCTCTCCCTTGTTCCCTTTCCCTCCTTCCCTTCCCTCTCCTTCCACGTGGATTACCAAGCGGGGCTGAGGTGAGCATGCTACCATGAAATGTGTCTGACTCCATTTATTTCTATATATCTCTTTTATCTCTCATGCTCTCTGTAACTTTACTATAATATTTACTTATTATCGCTGTACAATTGCGCCTATCGAACCCGTAGTGATTGTGCTAGGAGCTGGCTTCTTCTGGCAACCTCTGAGATCACGGATTCAGTTGGCAGTCTGCGAACTTGACATTGGGATCATTCAACGTGAGCCCTTTTGTATTTGGCTTCTTCATTGTGCTGGTGGGAGTCCTCTGAGCTGATGATGGTCGCTGTAGTTCATTCATTGCTATTACTGAACAGTGTTTCAGTGTGTGAGTCTACCACAGTGTATGGATATATATATATATATTGGCACAAATCATACAATTCAATAGTTGTTCGATCATATCAAGAAGAATTGTACAATCATTACCACAATCAATTTGAGAACATTCCCCACCACCACCCCATGTCTACCACAGTATATATTTCAGCTCTGACGTTGATGGGCATTGGCGTTGATACCAACACACACCTCCCAGAATGGAAAAGATGGAAGATGACGAGTGTTGGCGAGGAGGTGACACCAACCGAGCTGTCCTGCCGTGACCTGGAAGAGTATCGGTTGGTTTGACTGCTTGAGGACACTATTTGGCTTTTCTTCTTATATTATTATTAAGGCCGGACATGGGCCTTTGGTACACCATCACCCTGCTAGTTCACTCTGAAATATTTACCAACAGAAAGGTGGGCAAATGCTCACCAAAACACCTCTACTAGGATATTTATGATAATCATATCCACAACCACCAAACTCTACTGCTTTTTAAAATTTATTGTTCAATAATTAAATCATTTTATTGGAGGCTTGTACAACTCTTATCACAATCCACACATACATCTATTGTGTCAAGCACTTTTGTATTTGTTTCCCTCATCATTCTCAAAACATTTGCTTTCTACTTGAGCCCTTAGTATCAGTTCCTCATTTTTTCCCCTCCCTACCCACTCTGCCCTCCCCCATGAACCCTTGATAATTTATAAATTATTATTATTTTGTCATATCTTACACTGTCCGACATCTCCCTTCACCCACTTCTCTGCTATCCAACAGGGGGGTTCCCCCTTTCTACCCCACCTTCCCTCCACTCTCCCAGTATCGCCAATCTCACCACTGGTCCTGAGGGGTTCATCTGTCCTGGATTCCCTATGTTTCCAGTTCCTATCTGTACTAGTGTACATCCTAAGGTAGAATTGGGATCATGATAGTATGGGGGAGGAAGCATTCAAGAACTAGAGGAAAATGGTATGTTTCATTATCGCTACACTGCACCCTGACTAGCTTGTCTCCTCCCTGTGACCCTTCTGCAAGGGGATGTCTAATTGCCCACAGATGTCCCCTGGGTCCCCACTCTGCACACCCCCTCATTCGCAATGCTATGATTTTTTTGTCTTTGATGTCTGATATCTGATCCCTTCGACATCTCGTGATCTCATAGGCTAGTGTGCTTCTTTTAGGTGAGTTTTGTTGCTTCTACTGCTTTTCAATTCCTATGTTGGTCTCCGACGAGGGGGCTTTAAAATGTTTGTGGAAAATTCCACTGTTTGTTAATTCCACGTTTCCACAAACTTCGGGAAGCCCTTTCGTATCATAACCCTTGTCCCCACCCCTTTACTGACCCTCCCATCTCACAGAGCTGGGGCAGCATGCCCAGCACCTGTGTCCAACCCCTAGACCCAGCTCTCAGCCTTATCACCAGGGACCAACGCAGAGCCCGGGCAGGCCCCAGGTGGCCCACAGCAGAGGGTGTTGGAGGAGATGCCAGCAGAAATGAGCAGGGCAGACAGATAGCCACTGTAGAGCGCAGAGGCCAGAAGTGCCCAGTGTTGGGCTAGCTGGAGAGGAGGCCTTTACAGAACAGTGGGAGAGGGGAGGAAGCTGGAAAGAACGGGGCACCTGTGGAGGTCGCTGTTTGAGAAGGAGGAGGGAGCCACAGAAGGCTCTGAGGAGAGGAGTGGGTCTGAGCAGGGATGGGAAGTGGGGGCTGGCCAGTGGGACATCTGACTCCCTGGGGGGAGAATGAAA